TTGAAACCTCCTGGCGGCTAGCACACATTCCCCTCTGGTATTCCTGGCTTAACACCTTCTCAATCTACATTTTACCTTTGCTGCCCTGTTACCTTCTGTGTAGCCACCTCCCCCCAGCCCCCACACAGAGCCACTTTCCTTTTCACCTACATTGCTAAATGATTTTTCTCCTACAGCTCTTAAATCTGATCCTCTCCCTCTGAGTCCTGGCTCTTCTCTCTTCTGCCCCTCCGGTCCTTGCTCATGCACAATCTAAAAGTCCCGCCTCTGTCTCCCTACTCAGCCATTGGCTGTACAGCAGCAGTCCAGGACATTAAGAGGTGTGATTTAAAACACACACAAACAACAACAACAAAAAGAAAAGAAAAACCAGCTACACGAAGATAGCCTGGGAGGCAGAGCAAGGCTGACACCAGGCACTTCTGACTCACGGAACTCATCTGCAGGTGCATCTTTATGAATACCAGATAGTTTTTTTTAAAAAAAAAAAAAAAGGAAATTGTGAAAATGTAAAAGAAATTTGCTATTATCAAAAGGCTAAATAAGACAAGACACCATTTTCAAAAATATGAAGAAGTCACTAGGCAGAAATTCAAATTCCGCCACAGTTAGCCCTTCTTGAAGTCACAATACATAAGACTCGGCTTTCATTTCCCCCTAGGAACTGCACTGCTCTGGATCAGCCAATTGTATGAGATTGTGAGACTGAGCTCTACCCACTCAAGTGGAGTCACAGGAAACCCTTTAAAAACCTGGCTGGCCCTGGGTGGGTGTCCGCAAACGGTCCGAGGCTACACACCTTTATGGAAAAAAGCCCAAGTTTTTGCCTTGGCAAACAAAATACTTTGGACTGGGTGGAAATTTTCTTGAAATCCCTGCTCCTTATCTTTTTAAAGTTTTATTTTTATTTTTAATTTTGTCTTGTGTGTGGGTATGTGCACCGAATGCCGGCCGGGGCCTGAGGCAGCCAGAGGCGGCAAATCCCCTGGAGCTGGCATTACAGGCAGTTGTGAATTGCTGAGTGTAGTGCTGAGAATTGTACTCCTGTCCTCTGGAAGAGCAGTTTGACCCTTAACCACTGAGCCATCTCTCCAGCTCCCAGGCCATTTCTTATGATCAACAACAGCTGTATCACCAAAAACCCCACCAGTAGCTGCATGGATAACCACCTCACAAAAGCTCTCCTTCGATAACAGAGGGATTACTTGAAAGAATGCATAGTTAGTTTCAGGTGAAGGTCTAACGACCCTCCCCAAAGCCCCTCCTATGACGGAAGATCAATAGGTCAGAACTGGTGGGTAACTGTGCTGACTAGAACTGTGCTATTATCTTGACACAGCTAAGTCACCTAAGAGGACACCTCAGCTGAAAACTGCCTCTATCAGATAGATTGTCCTGTAAGCATGTTTATGGGACATTTTCTTAATTAATGATGGATCTAGGAAGACCCAGCCCACTGTGGGTGGCACCATCCCCAAGCAGGTGGATCTGGGTTATATATAAAAAGCAAGCTTAGTGGGCCATGAAGAGTGAGCTAATAAGCATGTCTGAAAAGATTGTCCCCCAGCACGAGAGCCTGAAGATCTTGGCTCCATCTTCCCTGAGGCAGCACCATGTCCTGACCACTCCCCTTCCGCGTTCACCCGTCTTGCGTAAATAAACAAGTTGCTAGAAGAATCTATATCTAGTTTCTTCCCCTACCCCTTTTGGTCATCGTTTAATTTACTCAGCAGGCCATCTCACCCTAAAATTAGAGTTTGCCTAGCATAGAAAAGAAAGAAAATGGGAAAGAATGAGAAAGCAAAACAAAGCCAGAATAATAAAATAAAGCCAGGTGATTTAATACGCCCGAAGGGCCTGTCTGTTTTAGAGTTAAGGTCTTCAGTCAGTCTCTTACAGGCTGAGTCAACTAATTCTAACTTCAGGACACAACTAAAAGTCAATTGCAAATGTCTATTTTTCCAAAGGAATTAGCCTATGGAGAAATTCCTGCTGACTGTACCTACTTCATTTCCCTGACAGACAGGTCTAGCCGGACCCCTGCCTGTCCAGCCTCACTTCTTTCATGTTTCCTGGAAACTTCAGGAACAGGGTGGTTTCTCAGATGTGATCAGCCGCCGTCCACAGCGGTGCCCTCTCCTGCTCTGGGCCGGTATGTTTATAGAAAGCTTCTGATCACTGCTGCCAGGGGGCGCCACTGAGGCACCACTTCTCTGTGTTCTGTTAGTTGTCCAGGGCCCTGAGGTTAAACCCAGCTTCTGTGTGGAAAGAGACACCCCTTCCCTCCTGATTCACCACTTGCCACCTAAGTAGGGCTCCCTGAGCCCCAGGAACTCTCAAGACAAGTGACAACAGTTTTCAGTGACAGCCGCAGCCCCTGTTCCACTTGGGCTCAGGTGAATGCCTGATACTGTTATCAGAACTTGATTTTTTAAGTGCCACTTCCTGTGACCCTTGTCCTCCAGGTGGCATGACTATGGTGTATTTTCCTACAACACAAATGTAAAAAGCAGGCATGACTTTAGCAATAAGCAGCAAACACAAGAATCTATGTGGAAAATCACTAATGATGTCGTAAGAAGCTAATGGCCATGTGAATCCCCAGATCACAGGTTCAGTTAATTTAGAAAATCAATGAGTGAGAAGGGTTCTGCTTTTCACAGACCTGAGGCTATGGCTTTAACTAAGTGGCTGTTAACACAGACACACACACACACACACACACACACACACACACAC